CAAACTGCAAATTAGCTCTCAGGTTTTTTTCCAATCTGCTCTCAATAATGCAGGTAAAAACACTATGGGAACAACTGCTAATAATTACTGTCTATAGACATAAATACAAAAACACGTAACTTTTGGATGTAGAAACAATTGAAAATAGACGGAAGCTTTTGTCCACCCAAATTTCCTGCACAAGCACCAGTAGCACTGTTGGTTTCGAAAAAGATAAATCAAGGAATTAAACTATTTTCTCTATTTGTTATGTCAAATGTAGAACAAGATAAATATGTTATAAGAAGTCCGTTCCTCAAATTTAAAACTGAAAAAAATACACAAATTGGTAACAAGAACATAGCGAAGAAAGTGATTTATAAAAGAAAAGGCAACACTTTTTCAATAGAAAAGAAGCTGCAAATAAACAGGACATCATTTTGACATGGGTTAGGCATCAACAAGCTTAAAATAACAGATAACTGGTCCTCTGGTTACCTATCATTAAGCCAAATTTCCTGCACAAGCACCAGTAGCACTGTTGGTATCGAAAAAGATAAATCAATGAATTAAACCATTTTCTCTATTTGTTCTGTCAAATGTAGAACAAGATAAAATATGTTATAAGAAGTTCGTTCCTCAAATTTAAAACTGAAAAAAATACACAAATTAGTAACAAGAACATAGTGAATAAAGTGATTTATAAAAGAAAAGGCAACACTTTTTCAATAGAAAAGAAGCTGCAAATAAACAGGACATCATTTTGACATGGGTTAGGCATCAACAAGCTTAAAATAACAGATAACTAATAACAAAAGCATTGAATTAGTTTACAAAAAAGAAGCCAATATGGAAAAGAAAAATAAAATTAGCAAACATCATTAACATTTATAAAATTGACCAAGTTAATCCAAGTAAGCAAACTACCTAAAACTATAAAAATTCAAAGACCAGTTTTCATCCCTGGAGCTACAAGGTCAAACAGGAACACTAGTTCCATTATGAAACTTTAGAATAGATACACATACCTCCACGAAACCAGTTGTGAATAAGCTTAAACCTTCGAACAACGGTAATATAATAGACAACGTATCCGGCGGTGCTTTGTCAATATCCTCAAACACAACCCAAAATCCATTCGATAAGAGATTTGAACTGATAAGAGATTTGAACTGCTGAACATGCCCAACCTTGGGGCAGCGAGCAAGAAACCTCTTGAGTGAGGATTGAAGATTAAAATCAATTGGTCTACACATAAGACTGGGCTCAAGGTAAAAGGAGATACCTTTTTTGATTGAAAAATAATTATGAATATCATTATTTAATGCCAAAGTGAACCGTGCACAACAAAACCAAGAATATGAATACTTAACGACTACTCCATAACAAAAAATCAAGAGGAAATGGGTAAGTATTATCAACAAGGGAATGAGCAATGTACCTGGAGAAGTTATCAATCTTCCAAGTGAATCTTGATGAAGGAGCATCCTGCACAATGGTATTTATAGTCTGGGTTATCAAATTGAAACATCAAAAACTCCTTCCATTTATTCCCACAAGAAACAAGAACAATATTTTGGGAAGTTGCATTAACGTAAAGTGATCAAGAAAATCAGAAGCGGTGAAATTCCTAAAAAAATAAAAATTGAAGATAACGAAAAGAAACTCCAAATGCATCAAATTGGTCAATTGAAAAGAAAAAAAGAAAGATAGAATGAGAATGTGGGATATGGAATTGAGAGGGTTATGGAGTCTATCTCTGTAGGGGTGAATTTATACAACAGAATGGTTTGCACTACACCTTTCTGAACTAGCAAGATCAACCTGGTTTAATCTTGCAAACTGCAAATTAGCTCTCAGGTTTTTTTCTAATCTGCTCTCAATAATGCAGGTAAAAACACTATGGGAACAACTGCTAATAATTACTGTCTATAGACATAAATACAAAAACACGTAACTTTTGGATGTAGAAACAATTGAAAATAAACGGAAGCTTTTGTCCACCCAAATTTCCTGCACAAGCACCAGTAGCACTGTTGGTTTCGAAAAAGATAAATCAAGGAATTAAACTATTTTCTCTATTTGTTATGTCAAATGTAGAACAAGATAAATATGTTATAAGAAGTCCGTTCCTCAAATTTAAAACTGAAAAAAATACACAAATTGGTAACAAGAACATAGTGAAGAAAGTGATTTATAAAAGAAAAGGCAACACTTTTTCAATAGAAAAGAAGCTGCAAATAAACAGGACATCATTTTGACATGGGTTAGGCATCAACAAGCTTAAAATAACAGATAACTGGTCCTCTGGTTACCTGTCATTAAGCCAAATTTCCTGCACAAGCACCAGTAGCACTGTTGGTATCGAAAAAGATAAATCAATGAATTAAACCATTTTCTCTATTTGTTCTGTCAAATGTAGAACAAGATAAAATATGTTATAAGAAGTTCGTTCCTTAAATTTAGGGTTTTTTATAATTTTATTGTGGAGTGTGAATCCAATACACGCAATCTCTAGATAATGTAAGACGTGGGAATCAATTAAGAATGAATTAACGTCAAAAACGAAAATGTTATAATCGGCTAGGGGTCTGGGGTTGAGGGTCGACAGCTTGAGGTTCTGGGTCCACGTTCTTGGTTTTAGATTCTGGGTGTAGGAGGTTTGGGGTTTTTATAGTTTTATTGTGGGGGTATGCATCCAATTCACACAATCTCTAGATAAAGTAAGTCGTGGGAATCAATTAAGAAAGAATTAACGTTGAAAAAGTAATGTTATAAATGGTTTGGGTTTGAGATTTGGGGTTGGGCCTAATAATTAAAGTGAGTGTCCTATTGGGGCCAAAATTCCGTTGTTCGTATGTACAGAGGGCCTGTAAAGCGGGGTTTATTATTGTTGTTGTTCGTGACCCAAAAAAGGAAAAATATATTGCTTTCAGCCTAACTATGCATTCCAATACTAATATCATTTTTAATTTTTTTTCTTTGAAAGTCAGTTTAAGGTTATTATATACAGTAAAATAGAAGAATATTTCGAACTTGGTTTCAAACATTTTTTTTGTAAATTAGAGGAGAGAAAAAGTAAAACAAGAAAAAGTAATGACATGATTTTTTTTATAACAACCTTAAATATTCAAAAGATATATAAATATATGACTAATTAATTATAATTAATCGAATTGAATTGTTATATGAATTCAATAATGTGATTAACAATCAAAGGATAACATAATGAAAACTACTCATGTTGTATATTAATTTAAACTTTCTAGCAATATATAAAAGTAGATTAAAGAGATAATAAAAAGTATATTACTTCTTTTAAAAAGTATTTTAGTAATGTTATAAAAAGTATTTTTTTATAATATAATCAATTATTTTAAATTTTCAAAATTTTTGTTTATGTTAATATTTATGTAATCTAAGGAGATACTAAAATATGATATGTAATTAATATAATTGAGTAATATAATTGTTTGGATGACTGAAATAACTAGATCTTATAGGTTTATTTTATAAAATTTGTAAAGGTAATTTGGAAACTAAGGGTGAGATTTGTGAATAAAATAAAGTGCCTAAGTTTTCGCACTCTCATGGCTTAGACCAATCAACTCATTTATTTTGTATTAAAAAGGTTTAGGAAGAGATCAAATTGGTTTATTCAATAAAAAATTATTTAAATCATGGGCTTATTGACAAGTGGTCCCTTATATCTTCAATCACAAAATGATTTTTATATTTTACCTTATATATCTATTCGATTTTAATCATTCGGTCATTAACCATGTTTACTCTGTGTGCAATTACGTTTGGTTCATCGTGAACAGCTCAGGGCAACATTTTGATCTGTCCTGCAATGACTTGAAACACATGCTAATCAAATCCTATTCGTCTTATTTCACGGTGCATCTGATAGTCATCGGCAGTACATACTTTTAGTGCATTCTGTTAAAGAAAATGGATTTATAGCTCTAAAAAAATATTTGCTGGAGACACCATTGAGCTTTCTTCATGGTAAGGTATCTCTGTGTTTTGAATTAGCAGGAAGAACAATGTTTATTGACTATTGTATTCAGATCGTCATAATATCAAATATATACAATCGATTTACAACATAAAACTAATACGAGTTCATCATCTCAATCCAGTATCCAAGTTTTAAAAGTAACTGAATTTTCACAAGTTCGGATAGCACAGGAATTACTTGATAGAAAGCACTACTCGGATAACATGTCTGCACACAGCAATTCATTGAAAGAGTACAGCAATACCACTTGCCTAAAATTTTGATTGAAATGGTATTGACATGTAACTATAGTATATATTTGAAACATTGAAATTAGCTACGAAATATTCCCTTGAACCTTCTTTATGTAAAATTCGTCAAGATCTTAACATAATGTAAAACTCACAACCTAGAAAGACTTTATGATATGAGTAAGGGTATTATCAAATTTTGTCCATTTTATTGTTAAAGTTGTGAATTGTAGGGAAGCATTCACAGAGGAAGCATAAAAAATAACTATTAATGCTGACTAATTCATTAGTAACACGTGTATGAAATTTGTAACAAAAGAAGATTGGAGTTTGTGCTTTCCATAAATTACAATTGCATGCCATAGGACAGTCATATGACGGATAGACTTGAGTAACCATTTCAAAACAGGGTGTAATGTACATGTTAACTGGAATCTTCATCTGTCCCTCAAATTAGGAGTCACTTTTCTTAGAATCTGTGCTTCTCTGGCTATTTGAATATCTGAATGCCAAAAATTCTGATGTATAACTTTGAGAAGAAAGCGAGGAGTAAAGCCTCAATTATTATAAGCAAAATGGTGAGCCAATAGGTGGGTGACTTTGCCACATGGTCGATTGTCCTGCCAAATGTAACAAAAATAAGAAAAACATAAAATCAACACACGAAAACTTTGGAACTAAAGATCAGGAAATTATATTATGAGGTGAAACTAACCAGTAATTTGGTAAGATAGGTATAGAATCCAATACCACCATACAAGCACAAG